GCTCTCTGGGGGTACACGTTGCTAGTTCACATTTCTCAAAAACCAGGGCTAATAAAGGAAAGAGGGGGTGTCTAGAGAACCCCCCAAAACAAATTAACAAGAAGAATAAAAAAAATTTGCAATATTTAAAGTTGAAGGGAAGCAAAGGGAGAGGCCAATTCACAAGACAAACTGCTTTAAAAATCCCATGCAATATCCTCTTACAATTAAAAAACACAGAATAAAGGCAACAGATCACCCTAATAAATAATAATAATAATATTAAAAAGGATAAATATCCAAGAAAAATAATTTATTCAAGGCACTGAAATGACTAAAGAAAAATAACAATTTTATAAGTCAGGTAAACCGCAGCGTTCATGCACTGTATCATTTATAACAAGATTCTAAGATATAAATTATTTAATGTAATATTTAATCAGAAGAATAGTAAAAAAAATTTTTTAAAAATATGGCTTGCTTACCTAAATTCCTGCGCACATATAACAGACTTTCTAAGCAAAATAATACAATTACAAATTGTATCTGGCTAATAAATAATTTGCAATCACTTCTGTGCTTAGCAACACGATGATAATGAATGCTTTTATTTAATCCTTATTTAGTCGGTATTAGCAGCATTCTCTGTGCTGAGTGAAGTTCCTGTTACTATGCTCGGCGCTGGATTTACCCCGGTATTAGCATAGACACAGTCAGGCCTGACTTGCTCACAATTCACAGTTACCCACTTTACCATCTATGCTCCCAATCTGAATTTCTTTAAACTGCTGTTTTGATTTTTTTTAAGCTTTGTTGTGTTTTTTTTATTTTTTTTTAATCAGATCTTTTATTTTGATGTGCAAGATAAGTATATGTTCACTCACTTTCTCAATTTAATTCTCTGTTGCTGAAATATTATCTACACTAACTGACAGACCAGCATTTTGCACACATTCTCTGAAGACTGGGGGTAAATGCAATATTTTTTTTATTTTTTTTAAATCCCTTTTTGGCTTCACATGCATTTTGTTACCCCCACTGTTACCCCCATGCAAATAACCAGGCACCTACCCATAAATTGCATCTTTGTCTCTCTTTAGGGCATCATTCACAGCAGATCCCATGCTGGTGGGCATGACATTTGGGTGAGGGGCATGAGTTCCATAGTGCTGGCTGGCATGGAGGGGGGGTCCGTGGTTTAAATGGTGTACCGGTGGGATGGGTCGTGGGGCGTGGGGGTCACCATACATTGAGGTTGGTACCCCCACCCCGTCCATGCCATAGTGCGGTAACTCATCGTACTGCCAGAGAAAGAAAAGACAGAAGTTTAGAAGAAAAAATAAATAAAAATAAAATAAACCAGATAAGCCCAAAGATGTAACAGGAAATAATAAAACCAACAGATCCAAACAGAATGAGAGTGATAGTGAGTAAAGTTTAAAAGCAGAAAGGCCTTGGGAAGAAAATACTTTTAAAAATTATACAATGAATAAAAATAAAAAAAAAAAAATGAAAAAAATCTATTGTATAATAATAATAATTATAAAAAAAAATAGGATTTTAGAAACTATAATAAAAAAAATAATAATACAAAAATTGGCCAAATCAAATAAAATGTTGAAGTTCCAAAGAGAAACAGTTTACCAGGAACATTGAGGCGTGTGAAGGGTCTTTACTGCTCATCCAAAAAAAAAAAAGAAGAAAAAAAAAAAGACAAATCTCCCGAAAAAAAAAAAAAAAAAAAAAAAAGGTGTGAGGTCCTCCGAGAGAAAAGAGAGAATGAGAAAATCTTAGAAAGGGATTTGCTGGGGGAAAAGCTGGGGGGGAAAAGAGAAGCCGGGGAAAGGAACTGACTTTGTGGAACCAGGCTGTAGCAAGAGATAGAACTGACTACTGAAAGCTAGAGAGATCAGGAGAGAGACAGAGGAGAGAGACATGAGAGAGAGAGAGAGAGAGAGAGAGAGAGAGAGAGAGAGAGACAGACATGCAGGGATGCACTCTGCCTTAAACATACATATTCACTGTTTATTAACACACATATTACACGCTGATCTCTAAATCATATTTGCAACCCCCCCAGCCCCCTCCCCCCAAATTTAAACATACCCCATGCTGCATTTGTGGGGGGCATTTAAACCTACCCTTTGCGCCATCAATAGGGTCCTGTCCTTAGCCCTATAGTGGTTCCCAGTAAGGCAGGCTGTGTCCGGCTCCTGGGAGAGTGCCAGGGGGGTATGGGGTCAGGGAGGGAGGGGGTTTAACCAAAAAATGTTTGCTGTTCCTTCTGCAAATCCAGAAATGGTTCTTCAGCTGGCACCGGGATGGAAAAAAAAGCCACAATCATAAAAGCATGCTAAATGAAAAATAATAATAATAAAATAGAATAAAAATAAAATTTAAAATAGCCACAGCAAAATCTTCTTTTTAATTTTTAAATATAAAAATGTATATATATATATATATATTTTGTTTCGGAGTTTAGGTCTTCCTGGTTCACACTTGAAATTGGATTCTTGGGAAGAAAAAAAAAATCTTGTTTTTTTTTTTTGTGTGTTATTTATTTTTTTTTTTTTTTAAATTGTCAAAATCTTCCAAGTTGGTCTTTAGTGACGGCCCTGGAGAGAGCCACATGTACCCAAACTGGGGACTGTCATGGCTATCTGCCACTTCAGATGTCAATCAGTGGCAGAGCATGTTAAGGTGCTGAATGAGGGATTGTGGCAGCAGGGAGGAGGAGGATGATGGTGCTAGGAGTGATGATGAAGGTAGAAAGTGAGCAGCAAATCTTCCAACCCTTTCTCTCTCTCTCTCTCTCTCTCCCCTGCTGCTCCTATGTTTCTGTAACTCCTCTTGACAGGTCCCTACAGATCTGTCTCTCTCTCTTTTTTTTCATCCAATGACACGTGAAGAAAAAACAAAACAACAACAACAAAAAATAAAAGATCCAAGTGATGCAAAGATACCAAGGGAAAATAAAAATAACAAAAAAATAAAATAAATATTTACAAAAAAAAAATCTGAAAAAAATAAAATAAAAAAAATTCAATAACAATTAAAGAAAAAAAAAATGAAAATATATAGAAGCAGCTTCCTTGTGCAGCGATGGAGCAGCAGAGACGGGTGAGTGAGGTGGGGATTTTTGCAGCCTGTCTCTGGCAGATGAGTGACTGCTGGCAGGTTGGCTGTTCCTGGCTTCTACAAGAGACTCAGTTTGTTGAGCTGATCGGCGGGAGAATGAAAAAAAATGACGAAACCCGGAAGTAGAGGGAGACCAGAGCCAGTCCTACGACACAGACACATGGATTGAGGGGGGGCAGAGTCTGGGAGGCTGTGCGAAGGGGCAGCGTGCAATCAGGAGTTGCTGCTCGTTCAGGGAGGCAGGGAAAAGGGGAGGCTACATCACTGGATCCTTCCTAACCCCTACACATCCCTTCCTAACCATCCTACGGATTCCTGGAGCTAGCAACCATCACAGCCCCCATGCCCACCCTCACTGGTCAGTCTGTAGGTATGTACTGGGCTCAACTTAACCCCTTCACTGCCAGTGATTAATTCACAACCAAAGAAATAAGAATAAAAAAAAAGTGCAAACATTACCCCCTATCTACCTCCATAGACAGAGTACTATATGTATTTTCAGTATTTTTTTTTCTCATTTTTTTTTGGGAGAGGGGGGGGATAATTCATATAGTGCCCTATAGGGGGCGTAGGTGGAGTTAACCATTGGGTTGTCACTCCAATGGTTAAGCACCAAAAGCTGTTTGCTGCTGCAGAACAGCTTGTACGGTGTATATACAGTAAGATCAGGCTGGGACATGTACCCAAATGTCCCAAAATGAAGGACTGTGCTGTGAGTATGTGTGTGCACTTCACTGGAAATGCCACGAGATAAAATACACAGAGGATTTTTTGTGTGTGTGTGTGTTACACACGCACACACATGCACTTACACAAACACACATACATTTTTAACATTTCTAGTTTGTCAAAAAGATTCATTATTTTTTTATTAATGTATTTTGTTTTCGGAAGCGAAGATCAGTACGTGTTTGAATGAGATCTGATCAGTGATGATCCGACTTGGAATGAGTAAAGGCACGATGGAATCATTGCCTGTGTCACAGTGTAACAGAATGTGCCTGTGTGAAATAGCAGAATTTCGAATGTTGTGTTCTGAGTGCTGGTTGTCCTGTGACTGAAGGCGTCAATCATGGTCACTGAGCCCTGGGATGAGGGCACACTGGGCTGAGGGGTGAGGGACAGGGCATTCACAGGCTGCTATTATTCTATCCTTTGTTGTTTGTCTGTGGGATGTGTCCACAGGTATTAGCGTGGTAATGCTCCTTAATGGCAGTGCTAATTACACACAGACTATTTACTAAATGAAGTAAAATGCTGCACCCCCGAGCACCAAACCAGAGGGAAAAAAAACCAAAAAAACACACCAAGAAGTTCTCAGGGGGAGGGGGGCTAAGATCTCCCTTTTTGTCTTGTTGTCCAGCCCCTTTGCTAGAAGTGAAACCTGCTTTAGACCTCAGAACAGTCAATTACCCCAAGTCCTGGAGCCCATCAATCATGGCAGGGGCCTGGAGTTTAAAGGGGAGGGAGGGGGAGGATGTGCCTGTCTTTTAGCCTTTTCAAGTGATGCCCCCTGTAATGCCCCATCTCTATAATCACAGCACTCCTCTATTTAAAAATGGGAAAAAATGAGGAACACAGGTTAATGTATCAGTTTAACCTCTTTGTTACCAGAGAGGTCAGCAAGCAATCTAGGCTGGCACTGAAACAGTCACTGTGTAAAAAGTAGCTTTTAGGGTCACTGGCTGTCTGGGTGATGGAGTATCTCAAGCAGTCAGGAGGGTTAACTCCTTCATTTCCAGAAAGAGGGGGGTGGGGGGGTTCGTGTTGCTTTCTAGCTACTCAGTTCGACAATGAAAGGGTTAAGCCCGCTGCATTGAATGGAGAGCTTCCATAACATAGATGTCTACAGGAGAATCCTGACACATACATAGGGGATGGTAGTGGGATGGGATGGCAAACAGAAGCAGTCAGTGGGCATTCCTAACCCCAGCATCCTGCACAGAGACTGGGCTTTAGGGCTATGCCTCAGGGCAGCTGTGAGAGAGGCAGGCTGGGTCTGTGTCAGTAGAGATAGCAAAGGAAACTCTTTGCTTAACAGGGACAGCCAGCTTTAAATGGGACTCTATTAGACAGCCAGGCTGGGATGGGACACCGGTTATTGGAGCAATTAGACAGTCGGCCTGGGATGGGACTCTATTAGACAGTCAGCCTGGGGTAGGATTCTTGTTACTGGAGTTAAGGGACAACCACCCTGGGATGGGATTCTGATGAGAGAGTTAAGAGACAGCCTGTCTGGGATGGGACTCTGGTTATTGGAGCTATTAGACAGTCAGTCTGTGATGGGAATCTGGTGACTGAGTTAAGGGACAGCCACCATTTCATAGGAATCTGGTGACTGAGTTAAGACAGTCAGCTAAAGACTGGACTTTAGTGTCTGGTCAAAGTGACAGCGAGTCTGGGGTGAGACTCTGGTGAATGTGCTCAGATACCTCATGCCTGGAGCTATTTGGAGCTCTGGTATATTCCAGACAAGGTAGAACCAGCAAGGCACGGAGCTCTGTTCTAAGGGAGCGGATTTATTGTCAGATAGTTATGGAGCTCTGTTCAAGGGGAGCTGAGCTAGTGTCAGATAGCAATGGAACTCTGTTCAAAGAGAGCTCAAGTAGAGTCGGTTAGCCATGGAGCTCTGTTCTGATGAGAGCTGGTGCAGAAACAGCTAGCCATGGAGCTCTGCTCTAATGGAAGCTGGTGCAGAAACAGTTAGTTATGGAGTTCTGTTCTAAGGGAGCTGAGTTATTGCTAGATAGCAATGGAGCTCTGTTCTAAGGGAGCTTGGACAGTTAGTCATGGAGCTCTGTTCTAAGGGAGCTGGACAGTTAGCCATGGAGCTCTGTTCTAAGGGAGCTTGGACAGTTAGTCATGGAGCTCTGTTCTAAGGGAGCTTGGACAGTTAGTCCTGGAGCTCTGTTCTAATGGAGCTGAGACAGCCATGGAGCTCTATTCTAAGGGAGCTGAGACAGCCATGGAGCTCTGTTCTAAGGGAGCTGAGACAGCAACGGAGCTCTGTTCTAAGGGAACTGGGATAGTTCTAAGGGAGCTGGGACATTTAGTCATGGAGCTCTGTTCTAAGGGACCGGGGACAGTTAGCCCTGGAGCTCTCTTCTAAGGGAGCTTGGACAGTTAGTCATGGAGCTCTGTTCTAAGGGAGCGGGGACAGTTAGTCATGGAGCTCTGTTCTAAGGGAGCGGGGACAGTTAGCAATGGAGCTTTGTTCTAAGGGAGCTTGGACAGTTAGCCATGGAGCTAAGTTAGATCCCCGCTCAATAGCAGAGATGAAGCAGAGGCAGTCCGGTGTGGAGCTCTCAGTGCTGGGAGTGTAGTAATGTGTGAGGGGCAGCCTGGATAGATAGCTCCGGGTTCCAGCTGGGCTACGGGTAGATACATTGTATCGTAAAGCTCGCTCACAGCCAGCAGGGACACAGAGAGAGAGAGCTACCGGGGGACCCAGAGACTACAGCAGCTATTACACACAGCCATAAGGGGAATGATCACTGCAAGGGACACAAGGCTTCAACTGCAAGGTGAGTCTATTAGCTAGAACAACGCAGTATTCACATATACAGTGTAATACACACACACACACACACACACATATATATATATACATACATACATACACAGTGTAATATACACACATTATACATATATATAAATATACAGTGTAACATACACACATTATACATATATATATAAATATACAGTGTAATATACACACATTATATATATATATATATATATATATATATATATATATATATATATATATATATACAGTGTAACATACAGACATTATACATATATATATATATATATATAAATATACAGTGTAATATACACACATTATACATATATACATATACAGTGTAATATACACACATACATATATACATATATAGTGTAATATACACACATTATACATATACATATACAGTGTAATATACACACATTATATATATCAGTGTAATATACACACATTATACATATATACATATACAGTGTAATATACACACATTATACATACACAGTGTAATATACATATATACAGTTTAATATAAACACATTATACATATATACATATACAGTGTAACATACACACATTATACATATACATTGTAACATACACACATTATACATATATATACATATACAGTGTAATATACACACATTATATAGATATATTTATATACACAATGTAATATACTCACTATATATATACACGTATACAGTGTAACATACACACATTATACATATATATATATATATACATATATATATATATATACACATACACAGTGTAATACACACACACATATATATATATATATATATATATATATATATATTGTGCATAAACACACAGTGTAATACACACACATTATACAGATATACACACAGTGTAATATACACGAACAATACTGTGTAATATACGCAGAAAACAAACACACACATTATACATATATATATAAAAATAGTGTAATATAAACACAAACACACACAGTATACATATATACACTCAAACACACGTATTATATACACACACACACACCACAGTATAATATAAACATACACACACACACACACATTTTTTAAATATACACAGTGTAATATACATACAGTACATATATACACAGTGTAAAATACCCACATACAAACACATTTTGCATACAGTGATATATACACATACAAACAATACACATACACACAGTGTAATATGCATACAGACACAAACATTGTACGTTTATATATAAATGTGTGTGTGCATAAATATATCAAACAAAAAACATTCTCTCTCTCTCTCTCTCTCTCTCTCTATATAAATATATAATAAAAATGTATCTCCATTATTTACATTTTAATAAATATACAATACTATATATACACACACACGTAAATATATAATATGCACAGAAAAGCGAACTCCAGTTATACACTGTGTACATTGTACAGTTTCCAGCACTGATACAGTTGTTTTTTTATTTTTCCAAAAACATTTCAAGATCTTAAAACTTTTGTGCGCCTTGTGTAGATATTTGGTTCCACAACTTACTTGTTGTAGACTATTACTCTATTCTTCTAATATTGAATATACTTGTATTTCCAATAATAATAATTAATAATAAATACAAATGGATGGATGACAGAAATGCCCCAACATTCTCTATCATTATAAAATAAAATTCTCATTTCTGCTGGTTGCTGGGGAGGAGATTTGGAGGAGTTGGTAACACAGCGACTTTCTGTTCTTATAGGGACATGTTTAAATAATCACAAAGAGTTAACAATCCAATAACTATATTTATTATACGTTTATTTTACACATGATCGGTAGTTTTAGACCACCGAAAACACAACTTGACTTATTAAAGCTAATTTCCTTCTTTTTTTGTGTGTGAAATAAAATATATAAAAATAGATTCGATTTCTACAATTATTGATATTTCAGAAAATATTCAAAAATAATCTAAAATTGTATTTATTAGATGCAGCATGTTTAAAAAAAAAATAATATATATATTTATTTATTTTAACCACTAACAATTACTCATACGCCATTACTAAATCGTGGTACCTCAATTTTTCTTTTTTCTGCAATTAAATATTGCTTTCTGCAGCAAAACATAAATATAATATTATCACACATAATAATTTTAGCAAAAAAAATAAAAACAATTTAGCGAGTTTTAATTTTCACAAATATTTTTGCTTTCCAAGTTTTATATATAATTAATATTATTATTATATATAGACACACATAAAATTGTTTCTGAAATAATAATAATAATAATAATATAATAATATTAGTATCGTTTGTGCCTATAAATAAAATGAAATTATACATTAATAAAATATATTATTATGTAATTCTGGTTCACTCTGAATAAATCTGGTGCTATGGCTTCTTTGTAATTCTCCTATTTGTGTAATCCCTGCAATATTGTCACATGTTTAGTTCTGTTTCAAATTCAGGAAATGTTTTGCATTTGAAGGACCTTATTTTTCTTTTTCCATTCGGGATCAAAGTATCCGGAGCCCAGGAGATCATTTTCTTCCTTTATTTGTTTCTATTTCTTTCTTTCTTTCCAATTTTTTTTTTTTTTTTTTCGTGAATCACTGTTTTGGATAAACCCACTGGGGTAAAAGTCCATTTTTATTTATCCAACACAAAGCATCGGACAGTTCTGCTGACAGAATGACTGAGCCTGCCTACAAATGGCTTTAACAGAAGGTAAGGTATCATCTATGAGAGTCAGATTGGGGTCAGTTTGGGGTGAGAGCTCTGAGTGCCCCTGAATGAGGGGTCCAGCTGGGTGGGGGGATCATTAGGAGCTGATAAAACAATGCAAGCAGCTAAAAATGCTTAGATCTCCTTCCTTAGAACCATGGACAATTGCAACAGGGCACTTAAAGCAACCCCCCCAACACACAGCAGCTGAGAATTAGGCTCTGTAACACAGGGGCAAATACAAGCTCTTCCTAAAGTTAAACAGGGGATTTTGTAGGAGAGCATACAGTTGTCTGTGAGTCTCTCCAATTATCTAAACATCACCTACAGGTAAAGGGGGGAGAACTACTTTATTCAAGTGATATAATTCTTTCAAAATTCTAGCTGTAATAAATTAGCAGTTATTATCAGCTATTAACCCTATACTGACTGTGGATTTATAGAAACCGAGTTAAAAACAAACTAAAAAAAAACAAAAAACTATATTGACTATTGTGCTTGGGGGATTAAATCCTTTTGGCTATGCTAAATCACATGGGACAATTAGCTCCCCTCTTCAGAGGCAAATAATGCAATAATAATCTAATTTGTCACTTTGAAGCAGTTTGTTTTTACGCAGGGAGTGTTTAGATGACGATAATTTAATATTAAGTTGTTCAAAACCGCAAATAGAGGCAGGACGACAGGCTGAGGCTGAATATTTGCAAAAGGAGAGAGTGGTGGGGGTTCCAATCAGTGATTTTAAAGGAATAATGGAGTTCAATATAGAACTGTGAGTAAGAACTCATTTTATGCCACTGTTCATGTTTATTAGTAATATTAAAATTATTATGTTATATTTATTTTTTGTTGTACATAGTTAAATCACGTTGTTTTCCCCCAATGGATAGTTTATTTATTTAGATCAGTTTTCCTTTCACTTGCTGATATTATGGTTCATGAGAGTTCAGATTACAAAGAAGCCCAAATGCACTTGGTGGGTTTTTGTGTGTGTATTTTAGTAAGGGTCTAAAATTAATCAACCCCCCCCCCCCTTTTACCCCCAACTTCCCCAAAGCTCCCTGTGCCTCTCAAAAAAATGTCATTTTGTTTATTTTTGGAGAGTACTTTATTTCTCCCCTCTTTTACACTGAGCCCAAGACTGACCTCTCTGTGACCTTGGTGGATTTAGGGTGTGTGGGGTAGAGGAACCCAACCCCATTCTATTTGCCCTGTTGCAATGTTACTGTCCATTTGTAGACTGGACTATCTTGACTGGAGAACAAGCCTCAGAATCCCTTTCATACACAGCCCTCTAGCGCCCCCCCGTGGAACATCCATTCTACAAAGAACACACGGCTTGAAGCGCTCTAACAGCGAGCATTCTGATTTTGGGATACATTGTCTGACGCCGTATTCCATTCATCGCTGCAACTTTGTAGCAGAAAACATTTCATAAATTCGAAGACTGACAGCTGGATGTGACGCTAAAACCCTGGCCAGCTCTCCATACAAAGCCTTACAGATTAACTCCAGATCTCTAAACTGGGGACCATCAGCCGTTTTGGGGTCCCATGGAAACCCCTACATAATATTTCAGCAGGATCCAAGGATCCCTCACTTGGGAAGATCCCATAATCTCTATACAGTAACCAGCCTGCCCCCATCACATGCTGGGGAAAAGTGAGCAGTTATTCGGAGTTAACACATAATAAAAAACGGCAATTATTATTATAAACTAACCACCGATATATAAAACAAATAATAAATAAATAAATAAATTACGGAAATCAGAACGAAGACTGTAAATCGAGGGATTTTAAAAATATTTATTCTCACGTCTAGTAATTTTATTTTAGTATGAAATACTTAATCTTATCTCTAACTAGAATTTCTCCATATTTTATTCCCTTGATGGGCTTTCTCTGTAACATTGGTTATATTAGGGGTATAATGTCCTGTAGATTCGGTTATTTGGAGAAAAAAATGTCTAAGGAGCTATTGAATTAAAGAAAATTCCTCCCCCTTTTTTTCTCTCTACAATTTCCCAGTATATATATATATATCATTCTTGATATATTTTTTTTTGTAAATCTGTACATTCTTGATATTATGCAGAAATATGTATTAGCATGTGTACGATTTGTGAGTATATATATATAAAAAAATATATAGTTCCATATTGTATAGTAATGATATAAAGCCTGATTTTTTTCCACGCTGAGCTCATTCTGACACTATGTAGTCTGTATTTTAGACATATCACAATGTGTTGTGTATTTATAATGCTGAATAAATAAAATGACATTTTTAATCAATGCGTGCTCCTCTTATGTAAAATTATATGCCAACTATTTTTAAGTCAAATTGGTACTTGGAGTCGGTAAATAAAGACCCACCTGAGTCTCTTCGACCTCATAAATGTGTGTATTTATTTCAAATGTCATGCAGGAAACTAGTGTTTATTTGAATACATTACTGTAAGGGAAATTGCGCAATAAGGACGCTAAAACACACATAACGATATATACTGAGCGAGAAAACTCTGCTGTATGTATAATTAAAAATAAAAAAATAAATATATACCTATATGTAAAATACACCCCCAACGACACACCTATATACAGACAGTACCTATAGGAAGACAGAGTAATCCCATTATTCATCATACGCATAATTAGGCACCTTTAGTGAATAGGGCTGACATATTTATCAAGCTCGATCTCTGCCTATCTTGGTAATGATTTATATAATTAATGACAGCACACACAGAATTAGTAAGTCATTAATCAGTGGGCTGAGTACAGGAGCGGGGAGATGGCACCTGGCAGCACTTCAAGGGTTAAAAGACCTCCCATGACATTGAGAGCCCAGTAGTTATACCCACTGCTATAGGGGCACAGGGTCTATGTATTCCCTTCACCCCCCACATAGCATCTCATTACAGGCAGGGACCAATTAGAGATTGGACACAAAAGGCACTCAGACATGATTTTATTCACAAAGGTGAAAAAACAAGCAGTCACTATAACATATATATAAATAAACAAATATATAATAATAATAATATGTTAATAATGTATGTATAAATATGTACCATTCTCTATATACAGATAAAGCGTGTACCCATATAACACATGTTCTGGTACCCAGGTAAATCTCCCAGATCCAATTAGATGATGTTTTATGGACTCTTTAACCTATTGGTTTCCACTGTCTCAGCTGGAGATGGTAGTGAAATGGTTAAGGGATGCTAACTCACACACTGGCTTCCCAATGAAATTGACCTGTTGAATTAAAGATGTCTCTGGTATTGCTGGAATAATCACAGCCATTGTTTCTCCATTGTACTTGTACGCTGGAGAGAGGGGTTCAGCAAAGGCTGGGCTCCAAACAAGCTAATCTGGGTACCAGCCACTGCTTGCTGCCTGCAAGACTTGTCATTTGCCTAATGACTTTGCGTCTTGTGGATAAAAGGTCAGGCACACCTTTAACCTTTCTCTTGCTGCGGTAAGCATCCCCCTTCTAATCAATGGTAATCAATTCATACTCAGAGCCTGACTTAGTCCCTAAAATTTCATGCACTGCTGTTTTCAAGCATTACAGCAATAAAATACCTGGGCTTAGCTTTTTCGAATTGTGCCTGTAATTCTGCAGCCTGTGTGATCTATAGCTGACCTTGTGGATGCTGCTAATGTTCAGAGCTGCCCCAATCAATCTTATTCTGGACACTGTCATGGGATGTATATCTCCCTCCTGGATTCCTGTGAAAAGAGTGTCCAGGCTGAGGATGAGCAGGGCACAGGATATAATGGGGAGGGGTGGTGGGTCTTAGCATTGGGTATGTCCAGGACACAGCTAGGTGTTGTATTAAATGTGTTTATGTGTTAGATAAGGAATTGTAGAGAGCACTGCCCATAGCACCAGCTGTTACTGGATGTTAAAATTGTTTATTTTTTTACTATCTGATTTTTGTACAGCTCTGCAGGATATAAAGCTATATGTGTATATACTAGAGAACAATTACATTGATAACAATAGGGTGTCAACAATTCAATCCCCAATGGGACATTTATAAAGTCCTGTCAGTGACTGAAATCTTGACACCCTGTAGTTATCAATGTAATTGTCTTCACTAAGGCTATCACCATTTTTTCAGTCTCTCTGTTTTTTCTCCCTATGACAGGTTATATGATATGTTACGTTTATATATATATAAAATCATACACTATTATAACACAACTAATGGTGAGATTTTAAAAAGTGAAACATGAATTAAGGTATAAGCATAAAGACATCACTAGGCACCAATGCAAGGATGCTAAAGAATATAAAATACAAACAAAACAATCAAGCAAACCAACTGAGACCTACAAAACAGTTCATTCCAAGTACTAATTCCAGTAATTAGTACTCTCATATCGACCAGTACACTGGCAAGTTCTATAATAATGTTTAACAAGTAAAAACTCAGACAAAAATCTACCTACGTATAACACAACTGTTAAGGTCTCTTTTTGCAATTTGTATGTGTGTTTGGTTAGCTGAACTAACACTTGTCTGGCAATTCCACTATTGATAAAACAATGGAAATCACCTATAACTGGTATTAATGAGACACTCTAAGCACCATAACCACTTTATCTCCCTGAAGTGATAAATGCTCCTGGAATCCCCTGGCACCATCCAACTGCTTAGTGTTAAACTGTTTCTTATTGGTAGACGCTGATTGACAGTCCCTCGCTGCCTGTGGCCCCGCCCTCCGCTGGAGGGTGTAGCTCATGTGGAGGTTACATTCCAATAAGCCATACCAACTCATACCATCAATAAGAAGCAGTGGCAGCCTGAGATCACTATGTTGATGCTTTGAGCCTGTCACTGTCACCAACTGATGGCCTGGCTAAAGCAGAATCATAAGGTGGAACAATAGTGAGGGGCTTTGGACCCTCATTCACTGTTAATTCAATTGAAAATGTTTTACAGGGAACAGCAAGACAACACCAGGGGACTCCATGCACTATAACAACTACAAGAGATGAAGTGGTTATGGTCTTCAATTTTCTTCTAAAATGTGTATTAAAGGTTTAGCAGGTGACATCACAATCTAGTACAGTCCAGGCACAGATGGACACATAATGCAAATGAGAAGAACAGAAACATTGTTTCAATTTCTGAAACCTGGAAGCCAAAACCTGGAAGCCTGGAATGCACATTTTTATACATGAAGATACTACTATATAACATAGATTCTATGGCGCATTAGATTAGCGTACCAACGGCGCATTAGATATCACGGGCACCCAATGACAATGTGCCAGGGCAAAATTGGCATCGTAACAAATATACGAGGTACAGCTTTACCGTACACAGAAACCAAGTCTTGCATCCCTGTCGCAGTGATGCAAATTTCGCTTGACGAATTTTGCCCTGCGAATTCGCGTTGAATGCCCGTTGTATCTAATGCACCATTTGTACTTGAATCTAAGGTGCCATCGAATCTAATGCACATTCAAATTTTAGAGACTTTATTTTAGATTCGAGTAAATACGGTAGATAAAGATTGACAGGGAACCAAGATGGGAGTGCACAATTCCTGAATAGAGATACATTTTCTGTGTTTCAATTTATTTTTCAGAACTCAAAAAAACATATCTGCCAAATATGGGGACACGTAAACATTGTATTAAAAATCCTGGAAGGTTGCAATTCACGAATCTCTCTCTATGTTGCTGTTTCCCACTACAGCAAAAAAAAATTTAGCTTTCACCACTTTTCTTAAATTAATATTTTAATGAAAACTCTGTATATTAATGTTTTCCCGTTGCAAACTACAACATAATAAGCTGGTATATCTGTAAAAATCTTCTAGATTAATTCACACGTGTGCTCGAAAATAAATGAATGGGATTAATGAATAATATGTGGTTAGTTGCAGAATAGCTACATTGTTTACGAAAAAGTGCACCATATTGAAATTATATCTTATTTTTAATACGAAAGGTTTAGAAAATCGGTTTGTTTTGGCTAGCTAGTTTGTCCATCTTTAACCTAACATCATTCAAGTGACCGCTAACGTCATCTGCCTCTTCTTGTGTAAAGCACTGCGAGCTGTGCTAAATAAACTTTAATGTGTGCGAACATGACCAAAAGGTAGATCCCCAGATGTTGTAAAACTAACTCGTATGATGCTTTGGAATGCCTTTAGAATGACAAAGCATTATGGAGGCTGTAGTTTTAAAACATCTGGGGAGCTACCTTTTGGGCACACCTTATGTAGATGATGACAGGCAATCCATACCATTGGCGCTTGTTTTTTGTTTTTTTAATTCTTTTTTTTAGAATCAGGATGCAACAACAATGCTTTCAATGCAATCAATATACAACGGTAACATTCGCAATATATAAGCATATTGATCATTGAAGTTATGACTTATGCCCACATGCCCAAAGCACAAAAGACTGGCTACATTGCACTTGCAAGGAGAAAACATGAGCTCACACAATATGGGTTCTAACAACATCTTTACGGTAAGTAAAAATAAATTACTTTTCATTCCATGGATTTTCAATATGTGGTGCTGGCTCACATTCTGTTCCTTGCAATTGATGTGGCCACCAGCAGCGGCTTGTAGTCAGTTCTTGATACCCTTAAAGCTCCTTCTGAAGCTACCCACACCTGTTCCACCTGTCCATGTCCATCGTCTGTTCACTTCTATGGCTTTCATCTTGACCATCCTGAACATGAAGCTTTAATTGGCTAGTAGCCTTTTGACCATGGTGGGGTTCTTTGCATTGATGGACATGGATCCTACTTATCCAGTTGTCCAGATAAACTATGTTGCCTTTGTATCCTTGAGCCTCTTCCTGTTTTGTCCTTTCCATGTGGATGTTGGTGCTCCAAGTCGCAATATTAGCTCTTCTAAAGTCCAAATGTTCAATTTCTTAAAATGTTCATTCCTCCATGCTCCTTCCCTCTCTCTGTCTTCACCTTTCCTTCAGCTGTCACCCCCCCTCCCCCAGAAACATAATTGCACACACACAAGTTGATCCACTAAACAGAGGATGTACGAACAATAAATTGCAAATTATTCTCCAAAAACCTAATTTAAAATATACTATAGCTGTCGGATTTTTCCAAGTCACTTTCCATAGATTGCTGTGCTTTAGACTACTTTTTATTTCAGATAGACAGAAATATATAGATAGACAGAGATAGGTAGATGACATATAGATAGATAGATAGATAAATGATAGATAAATGATAGATAGATATATCCATGGTGCTTGGAGTGTTGCTTTAATCTCAGGGCAGCAGTGGAATACATTATATATGTAAAATATTCTGGAGACTTGATAATAAATCACAAGACTGAGGGCTCATTTTATAGATGCCCCCAGAAGTCTGCGATGGCATTATTTTCTGTGTTTTCTATATATTTTTTTTTATTACATGATTTTTTATTTTTAAAGTTACAGCTAGGTAAAGTTACATTTCTTTTAGTTTTAGGTTAGTACTGGGGATACATGTTCCGGTCACCCTGAGATTGGTGCCACCTGAAGGGTGGCTTTATTTGTGTGTTATTCACAATATTTTATTATTGTAAAGTGAAGGCAGTAGTAGTCTCAGTTGCAATAGGAGCACTCGGGGCTGTGACGCCCAAGTTGGGGGATTGGCTTCAACAGATTCCAGGTGGGACATCTAAATGTGTCAATCTCCCAGCCGCCGTGAGTGATAGCTAAAAGAAAAGTGTAGACACTGATATTTAAGTTAATCTCATATTGGAGAACAAACCTGATTAATGGTAGTAAATAAAAAATATTAAATAAGTAGACACAGAATACAGGTAGCTCCAAGAATAAGAATACATCCCAAACAAAAACAATAACACACAAAAAAGGTATAAAGTCCACAATAAAACCTTGAGATAAAAATATAAAATAAATACAAAATATAAAAGAAAAGATAAAGGCACAGTTTTAGAGGTAACACTCACCTAGGACTCTTTAGTTGGTTGCAATCCACAGAAGATTCCCAAGGATGTGTCCAAATGTCAGGTAATGTATAAAAAGAAATAAAATCCTAAAAAGTACAGTGAGAGGAAAAAGTATTGATCCCCTGCTGTTTTTAAACGTTTCTCCACTGACAAAAAAAAGATCAGTCTATAATTTTAATAGTAGGTGTATTTTAACAGTTAGAGACAGAAAAACAAAACAAAAAATCCAGAAAAACGTATGTCAAAAAAGTTATAAATTGATTTGCATGTCAATGAGTGAAAGAAGTATTTGATTCCCTATCAATCAGCAAGATTTCTGGCTCCC